CCATTGGAGGGTGAACCAACGGCAAAGGAAGACCTTTCTCTCTGTCTCTCTCTCTCACTGTCCACTCTGCCTGTCAAAAAAAAAAAAAAAAAAAAAAAAAAAAAAAAAAAAAACAAAGAAAGTGAAAATCAGTAGAGTCCACCACACTGAGATAACTGTCTCCGACAGCCTGGTCCCCTTCTCCCACCTCACTGCAAGGTGTCCACGAAGTCCCTGCCCGCATCAGCTAGGCCTTATCAGCACACTCCCTCCATTTTCTCTCCCCCCCACTTTTTTTTTTTTTTTTTTGACAGGCAGAGTGGACAGTGAGAGAGAGAGAGAGAGAGAGAAAGGCCTTCCTTTACCGTTGGTTCACCCTCCAATGGCCGCCGTGGCCGGTGCACTGCAGCCGGCGCACCACACTGATCTGAAGCCAGGAGCCAGGTGCTTCTCCTGGTCTCCCATGGGGGTGCAGGGCCCAAGCACTTGGGCCATCCTCCACTGCACTCCCAGGCCATAGCAGAGAGCTGGCCTGGAAGAGGGGCGACCGGGACAGAATCCGGCACCCCGACCGGGACTAGAACCCGGGTGCCGGCGCCGCAAGGCGGAGGATTAGCCTACTAAGCCGCAGCACCAGCCCATTCATTACTTTTTTAAAAAAATTTATTTATTTGAAGGCCGGTGCTGTGGCTCAATAGGCTAATCCTCCGCCTGCAGCGCCGGCACATGGGGTTCTAGTCCCCATCGGGACGCCAGATTCTGTTCCAGTTGCCCCTCTTCCAGGCCAGCTCTCTGCTGTGGCCAGTTAGTGCAGTGGAAGATGGCCCAAGTGCTTGGGCTCTGCACCCCATGGGAGACCAAGATAAGTACCTGGCTCCTGCCACTGGATCAGCGCGGTGCGCCAGCTGCAGCGCGCTGGCCATGGGGACATTGGAGGGTGAACCAATGGCAAAGGAAGACCTTTCTCTCTGTCTCTCTCTCTCACTGTCCACTCTGCCTGTCAAAAAATAAATAAATAAATAAATCTAAAATAAATAAATAAATATAATAATAATAATAAAGTAATGAATAGCAGTTAGCCCAGAGGCAAAACACACAGATGAGATAGGAAGATCCATTCTCCTGCCACACCACACCCACCAGCCAAATGGAGCTTCTGGAACATGGTGCCGCTGGGACAAGCAGCCTGTTTGAGGGATTCTCACTCCTGCTCCCCACACGGCTCTGAGAGCCGCAGAACTCAGCTGGCTGCACGGACAAGCACTGGGGAGCAGCCACGGACAAGCACTGGGGAGCAGCCACAGACAAGCACTGGGGAGCAGCCACGGTCTCCAGGCTGAGCCAGGGCTCAGCACCAGGATCCCTGAGGGGGCACCTCCAGAGCTCAGCCAGCTGGGACCACACCCTGGGACCAGCACCCCCTTCCTAACATCTCTTCCCTGGAAAAAGCTGCAGTGCCCTACTGGGCACCTGGGTTCTGGTTCCAGTTCTGGCCCAGCTCAAAACTCAGGAGCTGCAGCTGAGCATTTGCTAAGTGCACTTTCCCATGACTCTCCTTTCTCCCACTTAGGTACACCCTCCTGCCTCCTCCTATCCCCATCCCCCCAATGCCTTCCCACCTGGCGGGTCCCACACACACCCACAGCAAGTCCTGCCTTCGTCGCACTTAAGAACAGCTGCCAGAGTTCAGCATTCTGCTTTTCATACACCTGGAGGGAAGCCTCTCTGTTCCAAACGCCCCCCCCCAAAAAAAAAAAACAAAACACCTACACACCGAGGCGATCCCAAGGCAGCCCAGGAAGAAACGCCCTGCCGACAGATCAGCCAGGCAAGGGAGAGAACTAAACCTGCTCGAGCAAGGGGCTTGCCAGGGGCTGGACCCGACAGCCTGGACAGCTGAGGAGACTTCCATTCTAGCCCTGTGCACTTGGGCAACTCTCCAGCTTCCTCGTTGGACTGTCATGCACACAGCAGTGAGCTTGAACTCTACCCTCTGCAGAGTCCGTGGGCTATCGTTCCGGAATTCCAAAGTGCTAACTCTTGCCTCCTATTGGCGCTCGCGCTAGCGACCAGTCAGGGACCTCGAGATTCTGTGGCCCGGAGTTAAGCTCCTCTCTGATCCGGCGCGCGACGGCTGTCCCTTTTGCTTCGTTCCTCCGCACGGTCCCACCCGCACCAGGGCAAAGCCAGGTTCTGTGAAGTGACACACCTGCGCTACTCGCCCGCCCGCCGCCCGCCTCCGCGCCTGTGGGTGACGGACAGTACCGCTTGGGGTACCCGCGCTCGGGCCCCGCGCCCCGCTGTCACCTGGAGCCGGAAGCGCTGCGCAGCCTTGTCCATGGTCTCCAGGCCCGCTCGCTGCCTCTGTCGCGCCCGGGCTGCCGCGCCCCGCGCCGTCCGCCGCCCCGACCAGCGCAGGGCCAAGGCCGCCGCCAGGAAGCAGCAGACCAAGGCAGCCCCGGAGGTTCCGGACAGCGCGGCGCACAGCTCTCCCAGCATGGTGATCTCCCGCCGCCGACTGCAGCGGAGAGCGACTGATGAAGGAGCAGCACGCGCAGCCCGCCCGCCAGGCAGCAAAACCCGGCCTGGAGCAGCCGGGGATTGCACACCCGCGCGCGCGCCTGCGGAGGCTGGGAGGGGTGGGGGAGGGCGTGGCGCGGGCCGCCGGAGAGCGCGCCGTTGCCAGGCAACCGGCCCTAGGCCGGCGGCGCTCAACGGTCAAGGTCATGCCCGGCGGCCAGGCTGGGATCGCACCCAGCGGACTCCCGGATTTGGCCGGGCCGAGGCGCCAGGGCGTGCTAGGCGCTCGCCTCGCAAGGGCACCCTCGGAAACATTAGCGTGGCAGCGGGTGGACGCCACGGTCTCCTTCCCGACCTCTGTCCTGCGCGCACGCCACAGCCCCAATTCCCGGGACAGGCCGGCCCAGAGAACGGGGAGCAGGGAGAGTGGCCTCACGGACCTCATCAACCTCCGTGAGCACTTTAACAGCATCTTTCATGGAGAAGCGCCGGACACCCACCGCTCCCGGCGCGCGGCTTCCTGGCCACTGGGCGGGAGACAGACACAGGAAGTTCTGGGGCGCCCCCCCCCACCTCCCCGCTGTCCCTTCTGGTCCCCCAGCCCCGGGACCCGTGTCTCTCGCCAAACAGCACATCACGTGTCCTTTTGCTCAACCACTTTCCGCCGAAGTGGCCTCCCTCCCAGGCTTCGATGTCTTGGGTTTCTTTTTTTTTTTTTTTTTTTTTTTTTTTTGACAGGCAGAGTGGACAGTGAGAGAGAGAGACAGAGAGAAAGGTCTTCTCCTTTGCCGTTGGTTCACCCTCCAATGGCCGCCGCGGCCGGCGCGCTGTGGCCGGCGCACCGCGCTGATCCGATGGCAGGAGCCAGGTGCTTTTCCTGGTCTCCCATGGGGTGCAGGGCCCTAGCACCTGGGCCATCCTCCACTGCACTCCCTGGCCACAGCAGAGGGCTGGCCTGGAAGAGGGGCAACCGGGACAGAATCCGGCGCCCCGACCGGGACTAGAACCCGATGTGCCGGCGCCGCAAGGTGGAGGATTAGCCTAGTGAGCCGCGGCGCCGGCCTGTCTTGGGTTTCAAACCTGGGAAGCAGAAGGACCCCCTGGCAGGGGACCCTGGGGACCGGATGCGCTTCACTAATCAACACACACCCACTCCTAGCCAGCTCCTGCTCACGGGGCCTTGTGCTGTTCTCTGGGTTACTTCCCAGACACCTGATGAAAAATATATTTTTATTCTCATTTTTACTGATGAGGTAACCGAGGACAAAACAGACTAAACGACTTGTATGGATCCCACAGGAAAGCTGAGTGGGGATTCAAACTCAGGACTAATCCAAAATCATTGCTCTAGGCATCAGGCAGGGGAAGTGAGGCCCTGTGGGAAGGAGCACAGGAAAATGCTGTGGCCTGGAAACCCTGCCCCAGAGCCATGGCAGGCTGGCCCTGGGCCACTTCACTGGATTGGCATATATTGGTAAAAATCAGAAGAGTTGTCATGCCTACCTTACAGAATTGGCATGGGGGTCTTTTTTTTTTTTTTTTTTTTCTTGACAAGCAGAGTGGACAGAGAGAGAGACAGACAGACAGAGAGAAAGGTCTTCTTTTTGCCGTTGGTTCATCCTCCAATGGCTGCTGCCGCCAGCGCATCGAGCTGATCCGAAGCCAGGAGCCAGGTGCTTCTCCTGGTCTCCCATGGGGTGCAGGGCCCAAGCACTTGGGCCATCCTCCACTGCACTCCCGGGCCATAGCAGAGAGCTGGCCTGGAAGAGGGGCAACTGGGACAGAACCCGGCGCCCCATCAGGACTAGAACCCGGTGTGCCGGCGCCACATGGCGGAGGATTAGCCTATCGAGCCGCGGCGCCAGCCGGCATGGGGGGGTCTTTTAACAATGGTGCCTAGGGGCTGGCACGGTAGTACAGCGGGAAAGCCACTGCCTGGGCATCCCATATGGGCATAGGTTCTAGTCCCAGCAGCTCCACTTCCGATCTGGCTCTCTGCTATGCCCTGGGAAGGCAGTGGAAGATGGCCCAAGTCCTTGGGCCCCTGCACCCATGTGGGAGACCTGGAAGAAGCTCTGGCTCCTGGCTTTGGATACGTGCAGCTCTGACCATTGTGGCCATCTGGGTAGTGAACCAGCAGATGGAAGACTCTCTCTCTCTCTCTCTCTCTCTCTGCCTCTGCCTCTCTGTAACTCTTTCAAATAAATAAATCTTAAAAAAAAAATAGTGCCTTGTGTAAATATTTGTTTCATTTTAAACAAATTTAAACAAGACACTTTAAGGGAAAACTATAGGAATTTTTTTTTTCTTAAAAAAGATTGCCAGATTGCCCTACATGTAACAACACACACACAAGATTTATAAAATTGTCCTGGATTTTTTTAAAAAAAGAAAGTATCAATTCTTTTTTTTTTTTTAAGATTTTATTTGAAAGAGTTAGAGAGGTAGAGATAAAATGATATAATGATAAGGCCGGCACTGTGGCTCACTTGGCTAATCCTCTGCCTGCGGCGCCGGCACCCCAGGTTCTAGTCTGGTTGCTCCTCTTCCAGTCCAGCTCTTTGCTGTGGCCCGGGAGGGCAGTGGAAGATGGCCCAAGTCCTTGGGACCCCGTAAGAAGCTCCTGGCTCATGGCTTCAGATATGGGCAGCTCCGGCCGCTGTGGCCATTGGGGAGTGAACCAACAGATGGAAGACCTCTCTGCCTCTGCCTCTGCCTCTGCCTCTCTGTAATTCTGCCTTGGAAATAAAATCTTTAAAAAAAAAAAAAATGTGAAAGAGGGTCTGGCACTGTGGCGCAGCAGGTTAAAGCCAGCATCCTATATGGGCACCGGTTCTAGTCCTGGCTGCTCCACCTCTGATCCAGCTCTCTGCTATGGCCTGGGAAAGCAGTGGAAGCTGGTCAAGTCCTTGGGCCCCTCCACTCGTGTGGGAGACCCTGAAGAAGCTCCTGGCTCCTGGCTTCAGATTAGCTCAGCTCTGGCTGTTTGTGGTCATTTAGGGAGTGAACCAGTGGATGGAAGACCTATCTCTCTCTCTGGTTCTACCTCTCTCTGTAACTCTTTCAAATAAATCTTTTTTTAAAAAAATGTAAAAGAATGTCAGCTTCTTAACCTGCTGAGTTTTTTTTTTAAATGCAATACGCATGGTGCACATGCACCAGTTTATGTACAATAAGGGAATGGGGAAGGGGGAATTGAAATAATACAGAGAAAACTCAACAGTAGTCAGGATGTGGTGGAACCAAGTAGTGGTTCTCACTTCATTTTAGCCAAAAGGCCAAGAAGCAATCGATCTGTGGTTTTCTAATGGAGGATGTTCTCTTGGTCTGTAAGAACAGCTCTGGAGCAAAGCAGCTAGTTCTCCTGTTAGTAGACAAGCGCTATCTGCTGCAGAGACACCAACTCCATTTCCAGCTGTGCAGCTCTGGCTGCTGCATTGACTGGCTGCCCATCCAATTGCAGTCTGACCTGCCTCATTGACAACTCTGCCAACCATAGTAGACTCTCATTAGTTTTTAAGTTGTGGATGACTCTTTTTTAAAATACTTTTTTTAATATAAAGGTAACAAGTTTCATATTTCATATTATGGTTTTTAAGGTATGTCTCTTAAAATGTGCCACAGAACCAGCCTGCTCTACCACTTTCAAATTAAAATGATTATCGCTCTCAGACTATTTTTTGTTTTATTTTATAATTGACAGGCAGAGTGGACAGTGAGAGAGAGAGACAGAGAGAAAGGTCTTCCTTTTGCCATTGGTTCACCCTCCAATGGCCTCCGCGGCCAGCGCGCTGCGGCCGAGCACCGCGCTGATCTGATGGCAGGAGCCAGGTACTTATCCTGGTCTCCCATGGGGTGCAGGGCCCAAGTACTCGGGCCATCCTCCACTGCACTCCCAGGCCACAGCAGAGAGCTGGCCTGGAAGAGGGGCAACCAGGACAGAATCTGGCGCCCTGACCAGGACTAGAACCTGGTGTGCCAGCGGCACAAGGCGGAAGATTAGCCTAGTGAGCCGTGGCGCCGGCCTATGTTTTCAGTCTTGTTTTTTAAAAAGTACTTATTTGAGAGGCAAAGAGTCCCCATCTACTGGCTCACTAAATGCCCACAATGGCCAGGGCTGGGACCAGCTGAAGCCAGAAGCCAGGAATTCAATCCAAGTCTGCTATATTGGGTGGCAGAGACCCAACCACTTAAGCCATTACCTGCTGCTTGCCAGGGTGCATCAATGGGAAGATGGAGTCTGAAGCCAAAGCCAGGTATGGAACCCAGGAACTCTGATATGAGACCCAGGCACCATTTGTTTATAAGATTTATTTGAAGGGCAGAATTAGAGAGAGAGAAAGGGAGAGACAGATCTTCCATCCTCTGGTTCACTCCCCAAATGGCTGAATAGCCAGGTCTGGGCCAGAACAAAGTCGGGAGCCAAAAGCTTCTTCCAGGTGTCCCAGGTGGGCAACAGTAGCCCAAGGACTTCAGCCATCTTCCACTGCTTTCCCAGGTGCATTAACAGGGATCTGGATTTCGAGTGGAGCAGCCAGGACTCAAACCCACACTTGCATGGGATGTAGGCATTGTAGGCAGCAGCTTAACCCACTATGCCACAACACCAGCCCTGAGACACGGGCATCTTAAACCCTGGACCAGATGTCCACCCCTGTTCTCAGTCTTGACTCCTTCCTTGGGCAGTTCATCGTTCACAACAAGCATTGGAATGGCCTCGGCTGACAGCTTCACCAGAGAGGTACGAAGTCCACCCCGAGCGAGCACATTGCAGCACCAGGAGCGGCCCATGGAGAGATGGAGCGCCCATCTGTGGGGAGCCTTGAATGTCTCAGAAGCACGGAGACCCTGAGGGCCTTGAGTCAGCCTCCTGAGCTTATTTGGGAGGGGCCAAAGCCTTGTGTTTCTAAGTCTTCAGCCTGGATGGATGCCTCCAACCCTAATCAGCACTGATGGTCTTTTGAGAGGTACATGTCCCTAGACCTCAGTTTCCCTAGAAGAGAACTGAGAGAAAGCCCTTGTGCAGTGGGTCTTGCACCTCACTCCATGAAAAAGGTTCTGGGCCTCGGTTCATCCTTCAACCTGCTGGTTGGCTGCAAAGTAGCTCAGGTTTCCTTTATGTAATAGGGGAAGCATTGTTCCAGATGCCCTCTCTCTTTCATGAAGAGGAAAACAAGACCAAAATTATGTGGAAACTCTGGTCGGTCCTGATGCTTAATCTCCAAGTTTGCAACCTGTTGTGAGTAGGGCCAAGATGTGCTGCTGTTGGGACTCCACTTACGAAGCGTTCACCGTATTTGCTGTGATGATGGCTTCTTTACTCAGGAAATTCCTGGAGCGGCGGTGTTATAAAATCAGATTTTATTTGCCAAAAGGATCTGGGGGTTAGGAGTGGGCTTGGAGGCCAAGGCAGCAAGTCCTGGGCTGAATCTAGTCACAGTGGGCAGCCACTTCGCTCCTGTAAGGGGAAACCTCCACACCCTCAGCTTTCTGATATCCCGTGCTTCCATTACAGACAGCCTCGGATCCCTGCCTCTGCGCTACGCGACGCTTCCGCTGCTGTGAGCCGGGGAAACTGGAGCAAGTAGCAGGCCTCGGGTCTGCCCTAGTGGCTCTCGAGAGCTAATGAGGAAGGAAAAAGACGTGCATAGACCAAGAAACGAAACAAGAGACAGGCTTTGGTGGAAATGCTGAGACCCTGCGGCTTGGACCCGAAGGCCCTTAGGTACGGATTATGGGCCTTGGGCTGAACAGCCCTGAGGGAAGCGAGAGGATTAGCCCTTGATTCTGGAAGAGGATTGTTTGGTAACTAGGTAACCAGTAACTAGAGTGCCTACCTTGTCTCTCTGTGCCTGTTTCCCTACTTGTAAAATGAAGACAAAGGTACTATTGTAAGAGTCACACAAGTTAATACATGTAACACAAGGCCTGAAGATAAGAAGCAACCCATCAGGTTAACAATAGTAAGCACAGACTCAGGAACCAGAGTGCTGACGTTCAAATCGTAACCCCGGCTGCTTGCTATGCAACCTTGAGTCAGCTGCCTTAACCTCTCGTGCCTGAGTTCCCTTACCTGTAAGATGGGGCTAACACAGGTGACTACCTCGCAGAATTATCAGATTACACAGGAGTATCAAGAACATGAAGCAAGTCCATTCAAGGACAGAGCTGAGACCAGCACCTCACCATTGTAGAGCTAGCTCACTTGCTCACTTTATTTTGGGCAGAGATGTGATGCAAGGCTCCCAACGCCTGGGAAAAGCAGGAGTGTGGAGGAGGCTGGGGCGGCAGGCAGGAGGCTGCGGACCTGGAATGGAAGAGCAGCAGGCTGCGGATGACCCGGTCGGGGGAGGTTTCAGGGCTCACTCTGAGTTATCGGGAAGGCATCGGTGAGGTAAGGGAACACCAGGGCACGCTGTGAGCCTGGCAGCGCGTCCCGTCCGTCTGTCCCGTCCCGCCCTGCACTGCTCTGCTCCAGCAGAGCTGGTTTCACACACAGCCCCTCGGGCGCACCCTGTGGGTTCCCTTGACAGGATCAGGGTCCTCCCCAGTTAGCTGGTGACCTCAGGCTTGTCATCCTTCTGTGGAGTGGGAAGACAGGTAAGACCGTCCCAAGCTCCCTCGGAGGTGGCAGAGGACAGCTTGCGTGAGGGAGCCTCTCAGGCCCCAGAGGGTTTGGAAATCCGTCTCAGTTCCAGGGGTGCCAGAGTGACGGCTCTGCTCCTCCCTTTTCCCTTCTGCCAGCCCTTCCCAGGGGCCTGCTGAAGGGGCGGGGAGAGGGAGACGCGGTCTTGCTTTACGGAGCTGCCACGGGTGGAGCCTGTGTCCCCCTCCCTAAGCTACTCACCAAGGAGGCCGTGAGAAGGCGGGGCTTTGCTGGCAGGTGATAGGGTGAAGCCTCAGGAAGGGGCCTCACGACCTATGCAGGGTTTCAAGGGAGCTGTTCGCCGCCCCTTTTGCTCTTTTGTCCTTTGTTTCCTCCACCAGTTGAGAACACAGAGATCGCTCCTGTCTCCATGGGAGGACCCAGGAGAACACGAGTTTCCCCAGACACAGAATCTGCCGGTGCCTCGACCTTGGACTTGCCGGCAACCAGAACTCTGAGAAATCAACTTTCCCTCCTGACTGCATCACCCAGTCTCCAATATTTGGTTATGGCAGTGGACTAAGAAGCTCGCAGCCCTGTGTGTGAGGCGGGCACCACACTCCAGAACATGGCCATCTCTGGGGTCCGCGAACGCAGCTTTGTCTGGGACCCCCAAGACACCCCTGAGTTTGAGGGTACTTTCTCTCCTGCGGGAAATTAATTGCATACTGATTCCACAGTCCGCCATCCCTACATTTTGCTCTTTGCAAAGTAATTTTGTAGCTCCTCACCCAAGAAGTAGAATCTGTCTCCCCATCCCTATAAATCTTTGGGACTTGCTGTAACCCATGGAAAGTGTAGAAGAAATTAGGAGCTAGTCCTTAGCCTAAGCTGCCAGAGAATTATTTTGTTTCTGTCTCCTGAAACCCTGCCACTGTCATGAGCAGAAACCCAAGGTAACGAACAGAGAAGGAGCAGGGCCTGCCCAGCCCAGGCGCCCCCAGCCAGGCCATTACCAGGTGAGACAGCCACCTGCCCTCAGGTACCTGCTGAGCTTGGCCTGGCTGCTCCAATCCCAATCCAGCTCTCTGCTATGGCCTGGGAAAGCAGTAGAAGATGGCCCAGGCCGGCGCCGCGGCTCACTAGGCTAATCCTCCGCCTAGCGGCGCCGGCACACCAGGTTCTAGTCCCGGTCGGGGCGCCGGATTCTGTCCCGGTTGCCCCTCTTCCAGGCCAGCTCTCTGCTGTGGCCAGGGAGTGCAGTAGAGGATGGCCCAGGTGCTTGGGCCCTGCACCCCATGGGAGACCAGGACAAGCACCTGGCTCCTGGCTCCTGCCATCGGATCAGCGCGGTGCGCCGGCCGCAGCGCGCCGTCCGTGGCGGCCATTGGAGGGTGAACCAACGGCAAAGGAAGACCTTTCTCTCTGTCTCTCTCTCTCACTGTCCACTCTGCCTGTCAAAAAAAAAAAAAAAGAAGATGGCCCAAATGCTTGGGTCCCTGCACCCACATGGGAGACCCGGAAGAAACTATTGGCTCCTGGCTTCAGATCGGCCCATTTCTGGCAGTTGTGGCCATCTGGGAAATGAACCAGTGGATGAAAAACCTCTCTCTCTACCTCTACCTCTGCCTCTGCCTCTCTGTAATTCTGCTTTTCAGATAAATAAATATTTTTTAAAAGATAAAGAAAGAAAAACAAGGAAACAATTTTTGGTTAACCAGAAAAAAAATTTTAATTCCTAGAAGATAGAAAGCAGTGATATCAAACTGAAGGAAAAGGACAAAGCAAACTGAGACACAGATGGAGCCAACATGTTCCCTAGGGGAGTCCTGGAGAAGGTTCGAGCAATACTGGGCCATGAGGGGCGAGTGTTGTGGTGCAGTGGGTTAACCTGCGCTTGGGACGCCTGCATCCCTAGAGAGAGCCTTGCCTCAAGTCCCAGCTCTGTTTGCAATCCAGCTGCTTGCTAATGCATAGCCTGAGAGGCAGTAGATGATGGCTCAAGTACTTGGGTTCCTGTCACCCACATGGGAGACCCAGATAGAATTCCTGGCTCTGGCTCTGATCTGGCCCAGCCCTGGCTGTTGCAGGTATTTGGGGTGTGAACCAGTAGGTGGGAGATCTCTCCCTCTATTCTCTCTCTTTGCCACTTAAATAAATGTATGAATAAATAAATATTTTTAAATATTTATTTATTTATTTATTTTTGAGAGGCAGAATTACAAACAGAAAGAGGGAAAGATAGAGAGAGATCTTCCATCCACTGGTTCACTCTCCAAATGGCTGCAATGGCTGGAGCTGGGCCAATCCAAAGCCAGGAGCCAGGAGCTTCTTCTGGGTCTTCCATGTAGGTATAGGGGCAGAAGTACCTAGACCATCTTCTACTGCCTTCCCAGGCCATTAGCAGGGAGCTGGATCAGAAGTGGAGCATCTGGGACTTGAACCGGTTGGTGACTATATGGGATGCCAGCGCTGTAGGCAGAGGCCCAACCACGGTGTCGGCCCCTAAATAAATAAATCTTAAAAAAAAAAAAAAAAAAAAAACTGGGCCATGAGGAGGTCATGGGGTTGGGGTTGTAGAGGAACTGAAGGACCCTGGGACACTCGGAGAAAAGAGAGAAAAGGACAGAGCCACTGTAGGAGCCCCAGCCCACATCTCACTTCTCCTGATCACTCAGCCCTGGGTCAAGGGAAAGGCGTCCTGGGAGGCAGCAGCATCCAACTTAGAAGGAAACACACCACCCTTGACTGGCCCCCGATTCGTTCATTCATCATTCATTCATTCCCTCAGGAGCAGAGAGTTGAGATCAGTATGCTCCTCAGCTCACAGGGCGTAACCACCACCAATCAGTCCAAGTCCCTCTCTCACTATGTTTATTCCGTCAACCTTTGCTCCCTGATTGTAGCCCCTCTGCACCCATAAGCTACTCTCATAACTTAATGCCTTTTTGTTTATGCATGTTCTTACAAAATATATGTTGTTTCCTATTCAAGTATTTTATAGCTTTATTAAGAGAGAATTGGCACAACTAGGGCCGGCGCTGTGGCTCGGCAGGTTAAGCCACTGCCTGCAGAGGCCCCATACATATGGATGCTAGTTTGAGTCCCCGGGGCTCCATTTCTGAGCCAGCTCTCTGCTAATGCACCTGGGAAAGCAGCAGAAGAGGGCCCAGGCCCTTGGGACCCTGCCACCAAGGTGGGAGACCCAGAAGAAACTCCTGGCTCCTGGCTTCAGCTGGGTCCATCCCCAGGTTGTTATGGTCATTTGGGGAGTGAACCAGTGGGTGGAAGATCTGTCTCTCTCTCTCTATTTTTGTAACTCTGCTTTTCAAATAAATAAATAATGAAGAAAAACTTATGGCTGGTGCCGCGGCTCACTAGGCTAATCCTCCGCCTGCGGCTCTGGTACTCCAGGTTCTAGTCCCGGTTGGGGCTCCAGATTCTGTCCCAGTTACTCCTCTTCCAGTCCAGCTCTCTGCTGTGGCCCTGGGAAGGCAGTGGAGGATGGCCCAAGTGCTTGGGCGCCTGCACCCATGTGGGAGACCAGGAGGAAGCACCTGGCTCCTGGCTTCGGATCGGTACAGCGCTGACTGTAGTGGCCATTTGGGGAGTGAATCAATGGAAGGAAGACCTTTCTCTCTGTCTCTCTCTCTCACTGTCTAACTCTGACTGTCCAAAAAAAAAAAAAAAAAAAACACTTATAATTGGCACAAAAAACTGCATCCCCCCCCCAAAGTCTCCTCATAGTCCTATGTAATCCACTCTCCTCTCACCATTGAACTCCCTAGGCAACCACTGATTTCTATCTGTTGTGTGCCACTATAAATTGGTTTGTATTTTCTAGAATTTTCATAAATCAATATAGTTAGTCATTCATAAATAAGAACAGACAAACAAGGATCACCAGACCCTCGAAGAAAATCAATAACGTGAAAAATCAGGACCAGGGCCTGTGCTGTGCCATAGCAGGTTAAGGTACCACTTGCAAGGCCAACATCCCATCTGGATACCAGTTTCAGCTCTGGCTACTCCAATTCCGATCCAGCTCCTCGTTAATGTGCCTGGAAAAGCAGCAGAAGACAACCCAAGTGCTTGGACCCCTGCACACCCACTTGATAGAGCCAAACAGAGCGCCAGGCTCCTGGCTTTAGCCTTGTCCAAGTCCTGGCTGTGGTGGCCATTTGGAGAGTGAACCAACAGATGGAAGATCTCTCTCTCTCTCTCTCTCTCTCTCTCTCTCTAGCAGTAGCTCTACCTTTCAAATAAACAAATAAACCTTTAAAAAAATAAGGATCAATATGCACAAACAGGACTACTTTCCCAGAAGAAAATACAGATTATTTTGTGGGGGTAGGTGTTTGACACAGCATCTCCTTTCAGAGTGCCTAGTTTCACCTGGAGTTCCAACTTCCTGCTAATGGACACCCTGGAGGCAGCAGGTAGTAGCCCAAGTACTTGGGTCCCTTGCCACCAATGTAGGAGATGTGAACTGGGTTCTAGGCCCCTGGACCCAGCCTGGCCCAGCTCCAGCTGTTTGGGGAGTGAACCAGTTGATGGGCAATCTCTCTCTCTCCTCTCACTTCTCCCTCTCCTCCCTCTCCTCCCTCTCTCTCTCTACCTTTCAAATAAAATGAATATAAATAGGGAGATGGTGTTGTGGCACAGCGCATTAAGGCACTGCTATGGTGTGGCATCCCGTATTAAAGTGCCAGTTCGAGTCCCAGGTGCTCAGCTTCCAAACCAGCTTACTGCTAATTTGCCTGGGAAGGCACTGGATGATGGCCCAACCACTTGGGTCCCTCCTACTCCAGACTAGGATGGAGTTCCTGGCTCCTGTCTTCAGCCTGGCCCAGACCCAACTGTTGTAGCCATTTCAAGAGTGAACCAGTGGATGGAAGACACCTCTTTTCATCTCTCCTTTTCTGTATGTCATCCCGCCTTAAATAAACAAATAATTTTTAAATGAATATAAATAAGAAATAATTTAAAGAGATATTTAGAGAACAGAAAGATTATGGTTTACAAAATTTTTAAATCAATTTTTAAAAAAAGTTTGAAAAAATATAGAATCTGAAATATTTAAAAATAATCTAAAAATATTGTAAGTATCAAAAAGAAATCAGGCTGTTCTGGAAAAATAGCAATTGAGAAATGAGGGAAAGTTCCTAAAAATTAAATATATGAGATTGCTAAAATCAATCATTAAAATTGACAGACTTAATAACAGTCATGAAATGGGCTGCCGGTCAAGCTGGTGGTGCAGATGACAAATTGGAAAGTCTCCCAGAAGACCAAATGATGACAGAGAGCCTCAAAGCAAACCAGAAAAAGTTAAAAGGGAAGAAGAACTGACCCAGGGAGTTCAAGTCCATCTAGCAGCAATGCAGAAGCCAGAAACAGAGACAGAGAAGAAAAAGAAAGAATTCAAGAAGTAGAGGCTGGTGTGGTGGTGCAACAGATTAAGCCGCTGTCTGTGATGCCAGCATCCCATAGGGGCACTGGTTCAACTCCCAGCTCCTCCACTTCCAATCCAGCTCCCTGTTAATGCACCTACCTTCAGCCTGGCCCAGGGACCTGCCATTGTGTCTATTTGCTAAGTGAACTAGTGGATGGAAGATCTCTCCCTCTCTGTAACTCTTTCAAATAAATAAGTAAATCTTAAAAAAAAAAAAAAAAGAATAGAAAAATTCCCCAGCCTAAGGACTAATAATAGCTACAATACATTAACTACTTTCTATGTGCCAGTAACTGGTCTATGTGCTTATTAAAGAAATTATCATTTTTTAAGATTTATTTTATTTATTTGAAAGGCAAAGTTACAAAGAGAGAGGGAGAGACAGAGGGGGGAAGAGTCTTCCATTGGCTGGTTCACTCCCCCAATGGCCACAATGGCCAGGGCTAGGACAGGCCGAAGCCAGGAGACAGAAGCTTCTTCCAGGTCTTCCATATAGGTATAGGGGCTCAAGCATTTGGGCCATCCTCCGCTGCTTTCCCAAGCACATCAGGGAGCTGGATTGGGAGTGGGGCAGCCTGGACTGGGATTTGGGCACTGCAGGAGGTGGCTTAACTCACTATGCTGCAATGCCAGCCCAGAAATTACCATTTTTAAAGGAGCCACCAGGGCCAGCATTGCAATTGTATTGCAGAAGAAACACATGTACACAAAAATCAATGTAAAAACAATAAAGGGGCTGGCGCTGTAGCATAGTGGGTAAAGCAGCGCCGGCATCCCCTGTGGACACTTGTTTGAGTCCCAGCTACTCCACTTCCAATCCAGCTCTCTGCTAATGTGTCTGGGAGAGCAGCAGCAGATGGCCCAAGTATTTGGGCCCCTGCCACTCATGTGCGAGATCTGCATGGAGTTCCAGGATCCAGGCTTCAGCCTGGTCCAGTCCTGGTTGGTGCAGCCATTTGGGGAGTGAACCAGCAGATGAAACATCTCCTTCTCCCTTCCTCTCCCTCTCTCTAACTCTGCCTTTCAAATAAATAAATAAATAGGAGAACAGGTGGGAGATGATGTATGTGGCTAAGGTGATATATTAAGAAATAATACTATTTGAAGTTCCAGTGATAACTTCCAGTGGTGATTAAAATATATACTAAATTATCTTCTGTGTATAAAGATAATTGAAAATGAATCTTGATGTGAATGGAATGGGAGAGGGAGCGGGAGATGGGAGGGTTCCAGGTGAGAGGGAAGTTATGGGGGGGGGGGAACCACTGTAATCCAAAAGCTGTACTTTGGAAATTTATATTTATTAAATAAAAGTTAAAAAAATAGAAATTGCAAATTAGGAAAAGAACTGTGAATGTACGGTTGGACACATGGTGCTTCAAAGATTACATGGCTTTGCTGCTGCTGTTTGCCTTTTGGCTATTTCACTATCGTGTGCCTGGTTTACTTGTCCCTCCTGGCTCAGCTGCAGAATCCCCTCCTCCGGGAGGACTTCCTGGAATTCCCTCGTCTGGGTCAAGGCCACTCCTCCGTGCTCCCAAAGCTCCCCCTGCTTCCTTGGTGGGAGGATCTGCCACACACACTGGAACCATCTGCTTACAGGTCTGTCTGAACTCTCCGTGGGGGAAGGAACTGTGTCCTACACCATCATACCCCGAGCACCATGC